ACACACACACACACACACACACAGCTTTGTTTTGAAACTCCCAAAGAAATTTGTCACAAAGACCTTTTGATACTTTAATGGCTTTAAGGAACTATTAGAACCAGATATTAAAAGAAAAATCTTTGTTGTTTTAGAGTGGTTTGTTATGTTTTGTTTTTTGAAAGAGTCTGGCTTTGTAGTTCAGGCTGGCTCTGAACTCACTGTTTAGCCCAGGGTCGCCTTGAGCTTGTGGCAATCTTCCTGCCTCAGCCTCCCGAGTGTTAGGACTACAAGTGTGTGCCACCACACCCGGCAGTATTAGTGTTTTTGAGAACTGAGAAGCAGACATAGGAAGCAGGTGAGCTTGGTGGCGCACACCTGTAGTCCTAGCAGTGGAGAGGTTGAGGCACCCTGAACTGCATGGTGAGAACCCTGTCTCAAAACAAAACAAAAAAACAATTTCTGTAGAAGGATATAAATGGTTACGTCATGGATTGTTTTATAAAGTACAAAAGTACTTTGAGTATAATATGAAATCTGGGAGATAAAAATGTGGATACTAAAGGAATGTTAAATGGATTCCATTGTGTGTGTGTAGCAGAGGGGAGGTGTTTATCTGTGGAATATGAATTGGGGTAAATGAGTTGGAATAATATGTATGTTTTAATTAAATTTGTTTTTATTTGAATATTGCAGTATCTAAAAATGACTACAAAACGAAGTTTGTTTGTGCGGTTGGTACCATGTCGCTGTCTACGAGGAGAAGAAGAGACCGTCACTACTCTGGATTACTCTCATTGCAGCTTGGAACAAGTTCCCAAAGAGATTTTTACTTTTGAAAAAACTTTGGAGGAGCTCTATTTAGATGCCAATCAGATCGAAGAACTTCCAAAGGTATGTTAATACTGACTTGGAAGAATTACCTTTGCCTAACGATTTGAGTTTTTTTTGTTTGTATTTTTTTGAGACTGGGTCTCCCTGTGTTGTTAAGGGTGCCCTTGAACTCACTATAGCCCAGGCTGTCCTGCTGTCAGCAATCCTGCTTCAGCCTCCTGAGTGCTGGGATCACAGACATGTGCTACCATGCCCGGCACAATTTGTTATTTCTAATGATGTCCTAATACTGTCAGTATATGGATGTATGTTGCTTCTGTTTTTGTTTGTGTGTGTGTGTATTGCTTCTGTTTTTCAGTTTAATTTTACCTTGAAATATGTACCCCAGTTCAGATTATTATTGTTGTTTTTTAATTCTGATTCAGATGTTGGTTTTTTTTTGTCTTTTTGAGACAGTCTCCCTATGTATGTAGTTCAGGCTGTCCTTGAACTCCCAACGTAGCTCAGGCTAGTTTCGAACTCAAAGGTAGCCTGCTGCTAAAAGTGGCTCGCCAAGTAAATGTAACCGGGTTCTGGGCTGCTTGCCCCCTCCCTCTGGAGTTATTGAACAAAACAAGCAAAAAACAGTGACAAAGTGTATTCAAGAAAGTAAAAGTGAAGAATGAGGGAGAAACTGGCTCTATAAAAGAACACCCTGGAGAAACCAGGGTGGGTTATCATGAGGAAAGCCACCATAACGAGCTCTTCTTGGCATCTGTGTCTTTTTTTGCTGTCCACATTTTGAGGAAACCTGTAAGAACTTCTATGTACAGGCCTCAGAGTTGGTGCTGGGATCCCATGCCTCAGAGTTCTTGCAAGAATGTATCCAGCAACTTGCAATTAACCGGTCAGGCCTCTTTCCCCAGCCAGCTTTGCCACCCTCACTGTCCTATCTCATTTCCTTGGCCTCCCTAGTGCTGGGATTACATGGGTGTGCCACCATGCCCACCTTCCAATTCAGATTTTTAAAAATAGATTTTTGAAGCTAGATATGGTGGTAGCAATCCCAGAACTCTGGGAGGCTGAGGCAGGAGGATTGCAAGTTTGAGCCCAGCTTGGGCTCAAAGATAAAGATCCCTTGGGCTCAAAGATCCCTGTCTCAAGATAAAAAATGGGCTAGGATGTAGAGGTTCAATCCCTAGTAAAACAAAACAAAATAAAAATTAACATTTAAACTTTTGTTCATATTAATTCTTGAATACTTGTACAAATGGCTTAAAATTTTATATTTACTTCAAACATTATTATAGCTAAGGTAGAAAACGAGACTACATAATTTCTGGAGCCATTAAATTTACCTAGACAGAGTGGATCCCGATAAAGCAATACCTCTGTGCTAGAATGTTAGAAAGCCTGTGAAACAACTCTTGCAGGAGAGAACCTAACAAGACAAGCTCCTAGGGCAGAAAGGTGAGCCGGTTCCAGCACCTGGAATGAAGCTCCTCCGCCGCCATCCCAAGCTCCTAGGGCAGAGAAGGTGGGCCTCGTGGGTGCCAGAAGCAACCCCCCATCTTGTGGAAATGAGAAGACACGTAAACAAGCCTCAAAAACAGACTTCTGGATCACCTACAGCAACCCCAAAGGGAAATGAGATGAAACAGTCTGATACTCAATCACCTGGACTCTCAAACTGGCAACAAAAGAGAATCTGGGAAAAATGAAATCAGAAATAATTACTCAAATAACAGCAAAGATTGTGCTCATGGTGCAAGACATGATTAATAAATCTAGAGAGGACACAGATTAAAAAAATA